CGATTTTCAAATTTGCAAACACCCCCCTTGAAAAATTCTGCGTACGCCACTGAACTGCCTTCAATGCTTCTCACATAGTACAGCATAGTATCTCATGTATTACTGTACAGTACATTTATTCCATTTGTTTGCATCTCTTTTTTTAATTGAAATTACTTCAAATTAGTTTTCTTGTAGTTTACATCCATTGATAGTGTAATTTATATCACGCCTCTTTCTCTATTTTTATACTTTGATCATATTTGAAATCTATCACATGTTACCAAATTTAGGTTGTTAGTGATTAAATGAATCTTTATTTTTCTTCCACTGATAAATGAAATTAAGTGCCATTCTACGGAATATTCATTTTGGATTCATTGATGTTTAATACTGTTATATAACACTTTCATCATCCTTTCCTACAGGTCTTCATTGGATCACTCGTCTTCTATATCCTCTTCTTCATCGTGCATATGCTGACTTATGTTGGATTAAGTGCGTTCATGTACTGTAGTGGAATAATCAAACCAGGTATGAACATCATACAGGAGGGACAGATATAAGCTGCATATCGCATTCTGATATAACATCCCACAGTAGACATACTTACAAAGAGCTTAACTGGTAGTTATCATTCAGCAGCCGTGAGCATTGCACAATGCATATATCAAGGGTGATCCTACCAGGTAGCCACATACTGCTTCTGGGTGGAGAGAGGCAAATGAAGATTATTTTTTTGCCTAAGAACATTAGTGTTATGGGGGATGCTAAAGCGTGTATCATACCCGTACCCAGGCGCGCCGGAAGCAGTTTGGGATTGGAGGAAAACATTCCAGGGGGCTCACCTTCCAGGGGCAGTGACGTAATGAGAAAAAAAAGTTCGGAAGGGGGAGGGGGGCAGACGAAAAATCTGCATCACCACCAGTCTTACACGTTACATGCAGGTCCCATGGAACGTTTTTCAAAGTGGAGTATTATCGATCAGGTAGAGCGTAAATTAGCGTGGGGTCCAGGGCATAAGCCTCGGCAGGGGGTCAAGGGGCTGAGCCCCCGGAAGGGGTTTCAGGTATTTAATTACGGTCAGATGAGCATCCAGGGGCCGTCCTAGGGCCCTTGGTGGGGTCCAGGGGGCAGAGCCCCCGGAAGCTCAGAGGTTTTAGGTATTTAATTACGGTCAGATGAGCAACCAGGGGCCCGCCTTACGGCCCTTGGTGGGGTCCAGGGGGCAGAGCCCCCGGAAGCTCAGGGGTTTTAGGTATTTAATTACGGTCAGATGAGCATCCAGGGGCCCGCCTTAGGTCCCTTTGTGGAGTCCGGGGGCGGAGCCCCCGTAAGCTCTGGGGTTTTGAGCATTTAATTACGGTCAGATGAGCATTTTTGTATACCTTATTTGTGACATTGGCAGGTCACTTATTTTTGTCTCCGTCTTTCTTGCTTTTTCTCTTTAACATACTTTTTCAAAAAGGAGGGAGGGGGGGGGGGGTCTCGAGCCCAGCCACTTTGCAGACCATGACATAAAGGCTTCTAAATAAAGCGTATTTTCGTTGACTGTAATTTGGAATTTTCAAATTTTCCAACAAACGCATAAAAAGGTATGACTTACACAAAAATGGAAAAAAAATGCCGGAAAATCATTTCACAACATCAACATTTGTAAATCACTTGTTTCGAATAAGAAATACAGCTCCCCCCCCCCCCCCATCAGTACGCCAGCGTTCAGGGGCTCATGTCTTCTCACCCCTATAACAAAATAACGGACACGCTTTCCCATTCTCGCACAATATGTCCACGATATGCGCGTATCGCTAATATAGAGACCTCCATTGATAAATACCGTATAGGTGGCATGCGCAATGTTTATGAAATGTAATTCCTGTGAACTTACCTTTTTCTTTGAATGGAATTGTATATGTGATTTAATTCAGGTTTTTATTATTGTTACGTTCTTTTGGATTAAAAATAAAAACCATGTTTACTCCTTTACTGCTTTTTTTTTTGGAGGGGGGGGGGGCGTTTTACCTGCTCACCAACCTCCTGCCAGTTTCTATGCAGATAGACCTCGGTAAAATCCTTAAAGAGTTGTTTGGTAAATGACATTCTTGATTACATTTCTATAAAATTTTAGTGAAATTTTTCTATCAAATTTTTGAAGGGCTTTAAGTTTCTCGTCTTAGAGAAATATTGCATGCTTTCATGAAGAAAAGTATTTGTAAAACAAACAAACAAACAAACATACGGACAAACAACAACAACAACAAGAAAAACATTTATTCCTCGATTCATGCCCAGGTTGAGCCTTTTGTTGTATTCATCCTTCCCCTCACCAGGTTTCAGTCAGGTGAAGATAATTAACGGAGTAGCGCTAATTAACTAACCCAAGTCACGAGCTTGGAAGTGAAAACAGCGGAAGAAGAAATAGAAAAAGGATGAAAAGAAGGAGAAGAAGAAAGAGAAGAAGAAGGTGAAGAAGAAATAAAAAAGCAAAGGAAGAATACAACAAACTATTCGTCAAAAATGCTTCTTCTTTTTCTGTCTGCTTCTTCATTTCCTCCCCAGCCCCAGGTACATTTTATATTATAGATCAATGTGTTAAGAGAGGATATGGGCGATATTCTTGAAGTCGTGTTCACGTTGTCTCCGGTGTTTGAAGATGTGCTATTGCCCGTTGCGCCCAGCTGTTGTATTGTCTCAAAAAGTCTTATGGTACTCATCTGGTCATGTCATTGTACTTTCATGTGCAGCATTCTCTTTCTCTTGTCAGGTGTTTAATTATGATATTTTTTAAATGTAATAATCATGAACTGTTATAGTCATATTCTTTCTCCTTTTTCTATCTCATGCCTACAAAAAAACATCAGAAGCTTTGTCATATTTCAAACTGCGATTATTTTTTTTCCCTTCTCCTTCCCCTCTCTTAATTTCATTTGTTCTACAGATCCAGATATGGGTTCTATCAGGAGGTTAATCGCCATTTACAAGAAGGCATTCGCTGTTTGCAAGTATAAAATGTCAAATCATCTGGTATGTAATGTATTTGTGTTCTAAAGAGATACACATAACATGGGAAGAAAGGGAAGTCAAACAGATTGACAGCTAGCGCGCGCACACACACACACACACACGCACACACGCACACACACACACACATACACACACACATACACAGATCAACAATCAGAGACTGACATCAACAGAAAGGGAAAAAGAAGGACAAATATACAAAGTCATAAAGTTGCAGATGTAGAATGAGAGGGAAAGACTTGTGAACATAAGAAAGATATGAGGAGAGACAGAGACAGAGAAAAAGAAAGAGACAGACAGACACATTAGCGAGAGGCAGAAAATTATTGAGTCAAAAGTTTCAAAATCCAATGAAAGCTATATCAAAAGAAAGATTTTGAGGATATATTTTCAGGAGATCTGGCCTCAATTGCCCCCCCCCCCTCTCTCTCTCTATCTCTCTCTCTCTCTCTCTCTCTCTCTCTATCTAACTTTTACTATTCATGTTTCTATTGATATACATTCTTTTTATCAACGATGATACTTAAAGGGATCCGGTAACTTTGTCTCAGATTCTGAAACAAAATTCTGGATTTAGCTCATGATGCAATGATAATTATAAACCTTTAGGTCAGTCAGGAACCCCATGACTTTTACAAGCCGATCGCCTGTCTGATTATCAAGATATTTATGATTGGAATTACAAATTTTGAAAACCGTTCGCCTGACGGTTTTCATAACACTACAGTCTATTGGGGAAAACGAGTATGGTAAAACCGGTCACTCAAAGATTTTTACTTTTTTGAGGCACTTCTTGATCATTTTGAAGCGCAATTTTTTTAGGGCTTCAATATTACACCATATCACAGACACTGATAACAGGTAGGGCGGTGTATCTCAGATTTAACATTGTTAAACGATCCCTTTAATATATGGGGGGGTACAGATAGCCATACATAAATACAATAGCAGACTAATGATCAATATCGTATAAGGGAGAGGAAATATTTTATAGAAAATAATTATAGAGAAACAGAGGGAGAGAGATAGAGAGACACACAGAGAAAAGAACAAGACTAACTAAACCCACGTTCCCTGGTTACTCATGCGCCAAAAGGAGTGTATATCCGGTCACGTTCAAATTGTCATCAGCGAGAAAGGCCTTCAGGATGGTTTTGATGATATTTACTTGTTCAGCCCGAAAACCTCTCAACCCGTCCAAGTCTTTTTCAACCCCAAAACCCCCTACCCCCCCCCCCCCCGCCCCTCTAAACAAAGAATCTGGTCTCTCTCTCTCTCTCTCTCTCTCTACATCCTACTCCAGATGTATTTATTTGTTATGTCAATATTGAATTCATGTATCACGCAAAAAATCTATTCTTCCCAAACTTTAGTCTTTATGAAAGTGTTATCGAAAGGTATATTCCCTTATATTCACGTTATCAGCCCGATCCTTCCCCCTCCCTTCACTTTCTCCTCTGTTTATACCCTGTCTCATTTAAAGGTTTCTCATTCGCCTTCATACTCTCTCTCTCTCTCTCTCTCTCTCTCTCACTCTCTCTCTCTCTCTCTCTCTCTCTTCCTAACTTTCATTTCCCCCTCCTCCCCTCCCCCTCTCTCTCTATCAATCCTTTGTTCTCTAATTCTCTGATGCATTCTTTCTCCCATTCACATCCCATGTCTCGATTCTCACCTAATCCTCTTCCTCCCTCTCGTCCTCCTCCTCTTCCCTCCTATTCATCCCTTCCTCTTCTCCTACTCCTCTCCCACTCCTCTCTTTCCCACTCCATCTTCATCGTCACATTCCTTTTCAAATCTCTACTTATTTTCTCTCTTTCCCTTTGCATGCTTTGATAAGTTTAGTTTGTTTTTTTCCGTATAAAAAATACATCATGCTTTCAGTAAAACAATAACGTATATAATTATGAATTACAAGATAAAATAAACGACTGGATAGCCCATATCCAGCGGTATCGTTATGATGCCGCTGGTCTTCCATCTTCTAACTCTATCTGTCGTCCATGGTCATGGCCGGAACATGTTTGTTAAATTTAGTCAAGTAATGCACTTGAAGACTGAGATTACTTGAATTTGACTCAACTTCCCCAGGAATGCATTTTTTCAGTATGTTAAAGGACAAACATATTATTAAATGACTGTCCTACATATAGCAGCAAACATCCATGTTTATTGTCCTACTTTTGTCTTGTTGAATTGTAAATTCAAACATGTATTTAACCGGGGCTTGCCTCCGTGAAAAATATATTTTTTAAAGCAAATTCAGATCACATTAAATAGGTTTATTATCAACTATTGGCGAGTTAAAAATATACATATAGATTGACATCAAACATGTATTTTTATTTCATATTAACATAAATGTTGTATACATGTAAAATCAGCTTCAGCGAATCTTAGTATTGAGTGATCACGCTTCAGCGTCTCTGTGAGGCTCTTTTGCGCCGTACAAGTTCACTCCCCGAACTCAAAACCGGTCGCGTATAACACAAAACCCTACGAAGAAATACCAACTCCTTGTCTAACAACTCTTTAACCTCTGCATTCGATGCCATTGGGGAAGTTTGTATTTGAGTGGTGAATGTTTGTTTGAATAATTGACCGCAGCTTTTTAAATTTAAAGCTGTGGTCACGTGCCCCAAACGTAGCCTGCTCGACGGGAGCGTCTTATTTTTCGCGTATGTCGCCCGGGCACCGATCGGCGGCCGCCCGGCCACCTCTTATTTTTAGGCTCGGCCGCCGCTGAAGTTTTAGCGTGGAGTTAAAATTCGGCGGCGCCTGCTCACTTTTCACTCGCCGCCAAAAATACGCTCGGTACCCGGGCGGCGACCTAATCAAGCGTTCGCCATCGAGCGATTTAGGTTAAAAATCGAAGCCGCTAGGTCAAAGGCTGCTGAGCGGTCGCCGCCCAGTAGCTGTCCAGTCGTCCCTGGATGTCGGTCACTGGACGTCGAGTTCAAAATCGGTCGGGAGCATTTGACCTAGCGGCTTTGATTTTTGACCTAAATCGCTCGGCGGCGAACGCTCGATTAACGCTCGGGGATCGGTGGGGGATCGGTGGGGGATTGGTGGGTCATCAGTCGGTCACTGCTGGGACGTCGCCCGGAGAAGCTCCCCGATTTTGCCGAGTTTTGACCTAAAATCGGCCGGCGACCGACGGGAAATCGACAGAGCACCGCCCAGACATCGCTGGGGCTCTACAGCCTGCTCGACTTCTCCAGAAATCGTTGGGCGATGCCTAAATTCCAGCAGCGACCGAGCAGACTACAAATCGGTCGATCAACGCTCTGATCTGTGACCATAGTTTCACCGCTCTGTGGTGTGACTATAGGTTAAGCGCCATTTTCAAAATTATTTTCACTAATGGAGCTCTCACACTCTGCCGTGTAGGCCTACCGTCCACCTGCCGGGCTATTAAAAAAACAACAGAGTCCAGAACGTTGGGTTTTGAGCGAACTTGTCCCCGGCCGCAAAAAAAAAAATCATAAAATTAATCTTTTCACCGTTTCGTTGCCATCTTCTGACCGTTCTCACCGGGCGCATACCGGGTGTTGAACGTGCTTCTACCGTCTTCACCGCCCAGATTGACTTTTGTTGAAAATTTTGGCCGTTTCCATACCGGGCCCATACCGGGTCTCGAACGTGTGCACCGGGTTTGTAGCAGCCACCTACCAGTCACGTAGCGTCCCCTCACCGCTCGGAGCGTCCTGTGAGCGAGTCCCCGGACTGCTGACGTCATGACACGACTGCCATAAATACCCCGATTTTTTTGCCCGTTCATCACCGTTCTGTAACGGGTTATGAGCGTGTTGTGAACGTGTTCATACAGTGTGACCATTTTCATAACGTATTCATACCGTCCTCATACCGTTCAATACCGTCCTCTTGCCGCTTACTTGCGGCCGGTGCCACCCGGCCAAAGTTTTGAACATGCCCAAAACTTTCGCCGGGTCCCACCGGGTGTAAATAAACGCCAACGCCCTATTAACGTGTTGCCCGCTTTGATAACGAACCACCGTGTGCCCTCGCCGTTCTCCACCGTCCGCAGACATTTTAGCGCACGGTGGCACACGGTAGGCCTACACGGCAGAGTGTGAGAGTCACTTAAGACTTAGAAGTGTTATCATTCAGTAACTATGATTTGCTCAAGCTGAACATGGACATTCGTAGGTGTAGAAAGGCTTCTTGTTCATTAAGTTAACTTGATGCAACGTTCAGATATATTAAATCTCAAATATGAAAGGAACAAAATAGATCGGACTTGGATGGATAGGATTTTATGTATAAAAGTAGTGGAAATGGTGCACATTTTACAAGCCGGCTTGATATAAATTTGATGACCGCATCTACTATCAACGTCTTATCTGTTTGATATTCTGGTATGATGATTTAGGAATTGGTGTATGGTAAAATCCACGTGTATATTTAAAAAAAATAATAATGAGAACGGTGATAGCATTGACGACGTGTGATGTTGTAAAAACAATAACGCGAGGAGAAGTGAAGAAATCTTCCTTCTCGAGTTTCTCCACGGTGATAACAAGAGAATAACTACATCTGATTGGTTAAGAAATGTTTATCACGCGGTGAAAATAAAGTGATTGGTAAAAATAATGTATGGAAACTCCCGATAACAAAGAATGTTCAACAGCTGAAAAACATGAAATTTGTAACTAAAGAAATGTTATTTACAATAGCATCGAGTGACTACACATCCAGTCTATGTGTATGGAATGCAACTTTCAGCTATCATTACGATGAAATAAACTTAGGCTGATGAGCATAATCACAAAAACTGGTTATGCATCTGTATGCCACTACAGTAATAATGAGTTTAGATTTTGTTTCCTTCCTGATATTAATCGAACTGCATGTACCTATTTTCTATTTTTATTTCAGGTCAGAGTAGTTCCTATGATTGTTGGATTCGTGGTTAATTTTGGATTGTAAGTTTAAATATTTTCATACACTGTACTTTGATGTATACATCAGTCCAGATTTATATCAGTTGTTCATTGCTCACTTATGCCTAGGTCACATTTGCTCTACGGCTAGGATGCGGCGGCCGTAGGCCCCCGAAATCGAGAGAAGGGTCTTAGAGTCACCCTAGGGCGTATCTCTATCTTTACAGGTCGTACAGGTCGCCGTGGGATTATAACGCGGAGTTATAACTTGTTTTCATTTCTAGGTTCGCCGTAGGAATTAGACAATTAGACACTAAGTATCCATGCCGTAGAGCGGTACCACGGAGACCAATTACGTTGGGCTTACGGTGGCATTGCGGCTACCTTGCGTCTGCCTAGGTATTTGTCAAAAAACCTACATCCGCCGCAGTGACGACCTAAGGCGACCGTGTGTCATCACTTCAAAGGCCGTACGGCAGCCGCAGCTAGGTTTTCTGTCTCCACAAATTAAAAATACGGCGTGCGGCTACCCTAATATATGCATGGGCGCCAATCCTTACGTAATATCTATTGTTCAGGGGGGGGGATGAATGAATAGATCACCCCCCCCCCTGAACAATAGGTATCAATTACAGATTTACGCCCATGAATATATGTGACTGTTACCGTATGTGGTCCTATAATTGCTATTGGCCGTAGATATTTTAGACTCCACGGCCGCCGCGGCAAATGTCACCTAGCATGTTAAAGAGAAGGTTGAGTTCTGGGAAGATATGAAAAATAATTTGTGAGTGTTATCATTGTTATTATGCAAATGTCGAAGAACGTAAGATTAAAAATGTTCCCCGAAAAGCGTGGCTCTTTAAATGCCTTAATATTCTAAATATGGCATGTAACATCATACAAATCGGGACGGATTTTTACGCCACATGTTCGTGTAGTCCCATATACATTTTTCTGTGTATAGGCAGTGCTTGTAACTTTACCAAGACTAGGCCAAATTTCTTATCATTTTGATGATTCCAGAACCTTGCAGTACACACCAATACTTATGCTTATGCTAGATGAATAAGATGATCAACCTTTTTTGATCGATTCCACACCGTTTCTTTCACAATGCAATCGCATGACCAGAACTCAACTTTATCTTTAAGTGCAATACACATCACATCTCTGTTTCTCGTAATACAGAAGTCAGCGAAAATGTGCAAGTCCTTCGTTGGGCGCAGTTCCCATTTTAAACACTTTTTAAAAAGAAGTGGCGGCGTTTTTGCAGTGATTAACTGTGCCATATCTGAACAAGCCTTTAAACAAAAATTGAAATCCTTTTGGGTAAGAAAAGGCCATGTGTTCTGTATTATCTAAGATTATGAACAAATTATGATAAATGTTCACTCAAATACGCTAATACAGCATTCTTTACGCAGTGGGCAATGAACACCAGTGTTGATGCAAAGGATTGTGACTGATGATTATTATCAGTATTAATAAGGCACCGGTTCATGGTAATAAGAAGACGGGGGAGGAGGAGGAGAATATGAAAATGAGGATGGTGGTGATGAGGATGATGATGACGAGATGATGATGATGACAAGATGATCATGACGGTGGTGGTGATGATGATTGTGAAGATTATTTTGATAATGGTGATCTTGGTGTTGGTGATGATGATGATGATGGTGATGATGATGATGATGATGGTGATGATGATGATGATGATGGTGATGATGATGGTGATGATGATGATGATGGTGATGATGATGATGATGATGGTGATGGTGATGATGATGATGATGGTGATGGTGATGATGATGGTGATGATGATGATGATGATGGTGATGATGATGATGATGGTGATGGTGGTGATGATGGTGATGATGATGATGGTGATGGTGATGATGATGATGATGATGATGATGGTGATGATGATGGTGATGGTGATGATGATGATGGTGATGATGATGATGGTGATGGTGATGATGATGATGGTGATGATGATGATGGTGATGGTGATGATGATGATGATGGTGATGATGATGATGATGGTGATGGTGATGATAATGGTGATGATGATGATGATGGTGGTGATGATGGTGATGGTGGTGATGATGGTGATGATGATGATGATGATGGTGATGATGATGATGATGGTGATGGTGGTGATGATGGTGATGATGATGATGGTGATGGTGATGATGATGATGATGGTGATGGTGATGGTGATGATGATGGTGATGATGATGATGATGGTGATGATGATGATGATGGTGATGGTGGTGATGGTGATGATGATGATGATTATGATGTTAGTGATGATGATGATTATGAAGATCACACATGTTCTTTTCATTGAATACACTTATTCATTTGTTTACAGGGGCGCTATTGGCATCGCCTTTAGACCTTTAGACTTCGCTACCTACCTCCTGTTTATTATGATAGTAAACATGGTGTTTTACCTGTTGTTCTACCTCTTTATGAAGGTGAGTAATAATGTATAAAGTTGTATGAAGCTGTTATCTTTTGTCCTCCCATGTTTCTTCCCTTTATTGTTTCTCTTTCTCTATCAAACTTCATCTACGCTATTTTCCTTTTCTGCCTCTGTATTATTTTGTATTCTTCTTTGCATTTATATGTCTATTTTCCTGTTTCTCACTGTCACTCTTTTATACCTCTCTCTCCCCCCTCTCTCTCTCTCTCTCTCTCTGTATATCTCTCTCTCACACACATATTCTCTTTTCTCACTGTCGCTCTCATTTGTGTTATCTGTCTCCCTCTCACTCTCTCACGATTTCCTATCTTTAAAAAAAAATCTCTCTCTCTTGCTCTCTGACCACCTTGATCTCCTTCACATGCATTTGATACCATGAAGTTGAATTAAATTGATAATTGTTTTTTGTTTTTTGTATGGGGCATATCAAATTATGATATCATACCCCATTGTGCTTTCAAAGCATTTTGGAAATTGAGCAAGATGTGCATTCACAATATGTACATGTATTAAACGGCGAGACCATTTTCTTTCAACAAACAGGGCTTTCGGGATAAACTGGATAAATTGACTTAACAATTTTTTTTCTTACAGGGTATGCGTGGAGAGAATGTTCTGTCTTTTTTGCTATTGGGACTGACGATCTTCCTTTGGGGCACAGCTGTGAGCTTCTTCTTGAAAACGAACAGTGGTTGGCAGGTACGATCGGAGATTCAACTTTTTCTCCTGTAACAAAAAATGCTGCGGCGATGATTGCGCTTTCATCGAGATGTATGGTTAGGGTTGGGAGTGGGTGTTAGTATGCGTGTACGGTTCTAGGCATAGAAAGAAGGTTTGGGATAGTTTATGGTCTAGAGTTCCAGATAGGAATGCATTTTAATATTGGTGGTGGTGGTTATTTTACCTGGTTAAAATTACAGTTAGCTCCTAATTTATGAACTAAAGTAATACAAAATTAAGAACAAGATTAATCATTACACTTTATCAACATCAGTGATAGTGAAATGAAAGCAAATTATGACAAAGTACAGTAATCTAGTTTAAATTATGATGAAATACAATAATTGATCAAGTTTATAGAGAAGGTTGAGTTCTAGGGAGAAGTGAAAAAATAATGTGTGAGCGTGTTCATTGTTAGTATGCAAGTGTGGAAGAACATCAGTCGAAAAATGTTCCCTGAAAAGCTTGGCTCTTTAAATGCCTTCATATTCTAAATAATATGACATGTAACAGCTTTAAAAACGAGGGCCTCATTTGTATGCCAAATTAATTTTTGATGATTCCAGAACCTTGCAGTAAAAAAAAGTGTATTCTACATGACCAATTTTCTCCGATCAATTTTGATGATTCCAGAACCTTGCAGTACACACCAATACTTATGCTTATGCTAGATGAATAAGATGATCAACCTTTTTTGATCGATTCCACACCGTTTCTTTCACAATGCAAGTGCATGACCAGAACGAACTCAACTTATCTTTAAATGACATTAGAAAGCATATTTGAAATAGTAAGATTTCGATATTGTGATTTAAAGGTAGTTAAAGACGCAAAGCTGCAGATGAGAATAATGCTCAAACATAATGAAACATGTACATACTCTTCTATATAGACACCGTGCTATTAGTCATGTATGATAACTAGGAATACATTTGTTCACCCCCCCCCCCCCCTCCCCGCCGCCTGATCTTGCAGGACTCGGCGGCTCGATCCAGAGAAATGAACGCTGACTGTTCAATCATGGGCTTCTATGATGCGCACGACATCTGGCATTTAATCTCAGCGTTCGCCCTCTTTGTCTCCTTCGTTGTGAGTATGCTCCCTAATTATAACTACGCTTGAGATTTGAATATCTTTCACTTTAGGTCTTATTCTAAAAGAGGAGATTCCAAGCTCTGAAATGATATTGACTCATTACAACTAGAGGTTCCTTAAAGTATGGGTAAACAAGAGAAAGTCTAGTCTTAAAGAATGTTGATTTATAGAAAATGGTAGCTGAAGCCTGTAGTCAATTCATGCACTCTGACGCTCAAGGTACAATGTGTTGTGCAAAGGTGGCAACAAGAGCATTAAGAGCTCTGTCGAAATTTATGTGAAGAGATTTATTGTCTAAACACTTGGGACACCAATTACTCACATTTTGTTCTTCATGTCGACCAAGTAACTTATTGTTTTTCTTATCCTTCTCTTTAATTCTCTCTCACAGTATTTACTTCTCCTCGATGATAACCTGGACCAGACCCGTCAAACAGATATCCCGGTCTTCTAACTCCAGCTACCAAAGCCACACCTAAAGACGCGGTCCCCATGCAATTCAATTCTGGTTTATTGTAAATAAAAACATACTGAATAAAAAAAGTCCCGATACTTATACAATTCAGTTTACACATTAATAATACATACAAGAATATAATAAATCAATACTCTTTATAGCAATCTTCATATTGATTACTGATTCTAATTAACTAAACAATTAATATCAAATAATCATAAAATAATACATGTTGTAATTATCATATAATAGAATCTTTTGAGACGGTTAATAAATAGGACCTGAGCCATCTATCTTTAACTTTATAGCTTCCAGAGCCTCATCCACCGATAGATAAAGTGATGCAGCTCTGATTGGGTTCAGATGGGTATACGATTCCTTTGAACATTAATTTTGGGACCATTTACAAAAGGATCCAAGTCACCTTGCTCCAGGTACCAGAGCCGTGCCCGCAGATGGATGGCAGTGACGCAATTATAGATTGGTATGAAAACACTTACAACCATACAAGATCCCATGTAAGATTGTTGCTACCTTGTTTGGCGTTCATCAATAAGGGATAGAGCAACGTCAATCTGGCGCTGCTCAGTGGCTGCCGGGCTCACGATAAATTGGGCAAAAAGAATTTCCGTTTCGGTTTAATAAAATTTGTAGTGGACTATTATTATATTATTATATTATTAAAAACCCTTTTAACCATCCAAGATGCTTTGTAAGAGGGTCGAGCCATCAGGTTTCACCTATCAGAGCCACGCCCAATGTTGGGTACCTGTGATGCAGTCCTCATTAGTAGAAGAACACTCTAAATATTCTGAAATGCTTGTCATTAGGATGAGGAACTTTTGGCCCCAGCTAAACTAAGAACACTATAGATCCTCTGAAATGCTGTTTTCACAATGGGAGTGAATGACAATAAAAGGTTGAAAACGTTAATTAGGAAAACTAATACACTGTACATTCTCCTGATTCAAAGGTTTTAGAAGTTTAGATTTTAGATGTCTCGTGAATCAACAATACTCGACAAGCGAAAAACTAGTCGGTGAAAGTGTTCTGCCAATTTCTCTTAGAGATATGATGTTTCTCATGCACTGGAAATACACTGTATATTGACTATATCATTGTAAAAGTTATCGATGTGAAATGTACATTCATAGGAACTTCGAGCTCAATGGTTCTCAAAACAAAATAATACTTATGTGCCGCTATTAATAGTGAAATCAATCATTTATTTCTTTGAACAAATAGCAGATCTATGTACAATTATATGTTTTTAAACCTTTAAGATAAGTTTTATCTGTATAAAATCTTTTTCACTGAAAAAAAAAAATATATCATGTTATTGGGATATATTATGTATATATATATATAGTGAATATTTAGAAAGAAGCTAGAGGAGCTAAATTACTTCGAGGGTGTGTTTATGTTTTTTTTAATTCAAGAGTTGGATATAGGGAAGGTGATTTGAATTGTTTTTGCATTGTGAGGGCCTTTTCTATGTATTCAAGAGCATTATCACTTTATATACGTACAGTGTATAGGTGTGTTTTTTCTTGCAAAAAGATCCATTTAATTATTATTTGTTGATGCTACAATGTATCTATGGATGTTCACAGTACATCGTTATGCGTTATAAAGCAATTCATGTATTTTTGACTGTTGATTCTTCCGTAGCTTCAGAACTCTATAATCATCTTTACAAGTGTATCGGATCAATTAAAGAAATATATCATGTTACATTGTACATATGTATATATGTAGTGAATGTTTAGAGAGAAGGAGGGGCTTATCGGCTTGTTTATGATTTTTTTTAATTCAAAGAGTTGAATATTGGAAAGATAATTTAAAATGCTTTTTTCAATTATTAGTAACTAATGTACATGTTTGCATGTGAGGGGTTTTCCAATTATTCAAGAGCATTATCACCTTATAATACGTACAGTGTATATAGGTTGTTTTTTGGCAAAAAGATGCAATTAATTATTGTGTTTTTTATGCTACAATGTCCTATAGATGTTAAAAGTCAAAAGATGGCATCAATTATATCAACGAATTTCATTCTGCATTATAAAGAATTTATGCAATTATGACTTGATTCTTCCATAACGTCAGTACTCTATATCTTTACATGTGTATTGGGTTAATTGTATCAATTGGAATAGAAGGGTTACACTGTGTTTGCTTCAATACTTGTATAATATAGGAGACTATCGGGTCTATTCCAAACGTTACGGTACATTTCTAGAGAATTTTCTTTTTTTAATGAAGAATAACATAAATATTTTAATAAGAATCATTAAATTCATGATGTAAGAACTAATATAAGGAACTTTTATGGCACTCGAGTTGCCTATCAACCATTCATCAAATTTATGTTATATTGATCTTTATATACTTATTACGGAATTTCTTAAAAAGTGAGTTTTGTTCATTCCGGCCGTGAAAGCTATTGTTTAAGATTTGAAGCCCATTCGGCTTATGAAATTCCAGTTCATAGTGTACTCATCATTATTGAGAGCCTGCTGTACATCAGGAAGATAATGTTTGTTTAGATCTCTTTATATTATATAATTGCCATCTCTTTGAAAATCAGTTCGCAGAAAGGTGGTTTAGTGTGGTGTTGGCTGTAGATATTTTCAACTTTAAATAAAGAACAGGCACCCGTGTCTCAAAGCCTTTTTTCAATGACAAATGACAAATATCAGTGACAAATCTGCTGATAACCAATCAGAAGCAAGGATTTCAGTAGCTTATAACAACAACTGTCATTTGTCACTGATGTCAAGTTTTGTGAAACACCCCCCTGATCAAACAAATATAATCTGCCAATGCCATTATCTTTGTTTACCGTGCATGTTTCCAACATTTACTGTGCATCTTGTTTTAGAGCTGTCAATAGTTTTTCAGTGTAGAGATTTGGATTATTGAAGTAATAATGCTAGAGGTACATGAAAGTATGTACACACGATTGTTATATTTAATTTTGTGCGATTTACATGAGGGGTATGTACATGTACATGTTTGCAGTCAGTGTTATGATTTTCGGTTAATGTAATGTAACATGCATCATTTTCCAGTACAACACTTGTTTCATGTCGATTTTGTATTGATATTTTTATTATGAATGATATTCATTTCCTTATTCATTTTGTAATTTTAGTTCAATTAAATTTATTTTTAATTTGTTTTGTTTAATTTAATATCATTATCGAATTGTTATTATAAATATCTATTTATCCATTTTTTTTTAATTTGGAGGGGGAGGGGGTGTTTTTGTTTTCACAATCATGGGAGTGAATAACAACAATTAGGAAAACTATAATCAGGAAAATTAATACACTGTACATTCTTCTGATTCAAAGGTTTTAGAAGTTTAGATTTTAGATATCTCGTGAATCAAAAAGACTCGACTGGTGAAAAACTAGTAGGTCAGAAATGTTCTGCCTATTCCTTTCAAAGATAATTATGATGTTTCTCATGCACTGAAAATACACTGTATATTGAGCTATATCATTGTAAGCGATATTAGTGTGTAATATACATTTATAGGAACTTCGAGCTCAATTGTTCTCAAAATAATACTAATGTGCCTATGACAGTAACATCAATCATTTATTGGTTTGAGGAAATAGCAGATCTATGTACAATTATTTGTCTTACCTTTATGATTAGATTACCTGTATAAAATCTTTCTCAATGATTTTTTTTTAAATATTATTTCATAGGGATATGTGTATATTAGTGCAGTTAGTACTTGTGATTCTTCCATAATTTCTGTAGTCCTTTATAGGAGCTTAGAGCTCAATGGTTCTCAAAATAATACTAATGTGCCGCTATTAATAGTAAAATCAATCCTGTATCGCTTTAAGGAATTAGCAGATCTATATACAATTATATGTTTTTAAACCTTTAGGATAAGTTTTACCTGTATAAAATCTTTCTCAATGATTTTTGTTTAAATATCATATGATAGGGATATAGTGCAGTTAGTACTTGTGATTCTTCTATAACTTCAGTACTCTATATCTTTACATATGTATTGGATCAATAAGTATCAATTGCATCAATTGTAATGTAACGGTTAAATTTTATGATTAGATTTCTTACCTTTATGATTAGATTTTTTACCTTTATGATTAGATTTCTTACCTTTATGATTAGATTTTTTACCATTATGATTAGATTTTTTACCATTATGATTAGATTTCTTACCTTTATAATTAGATTTTTTACCTTTATGATTAGATTTCTTACCTTTATGATTAGATTTTTTACCTTTATGATTAGATTTTTTACCTTTATGATTACATTTCTTACCTTTATGATTAGATTTCTTACCTTAATGATTAGATTTTTTACCTTTATGATTAGATTTTTTACCTTTATGATTATATTTTTTACCTTTATGATTAGATTACCTGTATAAAAAAAATTTAAATGATATTTTTTTAAATATCATATTATAGGAATATGTGTATATATTTAGTGCAGTTTGTACCTGTGATTCTTCTATAACTTCAGTACTCTATATCTTTACATATGTATTGGATCATTAAGTATCAATTGTATCAATTTTAATGTAACGGTTACATTTTTTTCTTCTTCAATAATTGTATATATTGGACTAACAGGTCAATTACAAGCATTACCGAACACTTGTAGAGAATTTTCTATTTTTTATAAAGAATATCACATACATTTTAATGAGAATCTACACATCAATAATAGATTATAAAAACTAATATGAGGTACTTTCACAGCTTTTGAGTTTCCTATCAACCTTTTATCAATTTTAAGAAATATTGAATTTGATATACTTTGACAGTTCCATGATTTTGTATAAGGAAAGTTTCAGTCATTCCATCAGAAATCTATTTAAAATACATTGTTTTCAATATACATTTCATGAATGGTTGATATGAAACTTAACTGTTATAAAAAAATATATAATAATAATATTTTTACTTTTTTTAAATAAATAGGATCATAATATTCTTCTC